AATATGAGACACGACCCATTGTCTATATTAGAACACTTCTCATTGGGTAACAAAGTCGTAATTTTTCATTTTTGTCAAAAAGTGTCTAGGCCTATAGTAGTGAATTATGGTTTAGATTTTTTTTTTAATAAAGTTTCAAAAATTTCTGTGTATGTGGAAAATGTAGTTGATTACCAAAGGTTACAATTTTTATTTTGAAGACTGCATGGTCTAGGAAGTGTACATTTTTTTTATGGGGCAAGTTTCCAAGGGCGGGTTTTCTAGGGGCGAGTTGACTGCCAAAGAGTGTTGCCAAATTGCGAGCCAGCGTGTTATTTTGATCACAAGTGCGAAACATCGCAAGTGTGAGCCAGCGAGTCATGACGTCACGACAATAGATACGAGACGTTACTCGAGTTGTGCGAGGTATCGGCTGAGATTTGTGGAGTACAAATCAAAAAACAACTATACGTCTAATAATAAATTATTGTGATGTTAAATAGACAATGTTAGCTATCAAGGAGCGACGTTGTTTTTCATTGGGACCTTCGTCCCTTCAAGGCTAGGCCTATATATACCATCCTAGCTAGTATATAGGCCTATAGTAGGATAAGGCTAGCGCGACATGCGGATGTTGGTACGTGTTGGTTAGTCTACAAACGTCGCCTAAAATAATTGATTTTACCCGGCAGAACGAAAGAAGGAAACTTCGCTTTTCAGTCGTCTTAGGCCCTTGATTTTTGACAAACAATGACCTTTCAGAGGTCAAATTGCTGTCAAGAATACGAATTGGCTGCTTCGCAGCAATGAGTGATCACTCTGGCCTCAAAACGTAAACCAGGAAAAAACCATAATGTTGTCCGAGCATGGACCTATTAATAATAGGTCCATGGTACGAGGACATTTGTTACTTAATCTCGGAGTTGTGTTAAACTGCTCGCTGGTATTGCTGGGATGTTTTAATCTATTTTAAACTATTATATCTATACCATATTCCTATTCCCAAGTTGTAGACAGGACACAATCTCCTACTCCTTTTAGGGGTCGCATACGTACGTTTCTGTTCACAAAAATATCTACCACGAAACGCTCATTAAATTCAAAAATTTCATTAAACTTTCTATAAGATTCATAGTTTTAAAAAAATGTTGTGTCTGTCAAGTAAGTCGCTTTGGTTCGAAACCGTTAGTCTAGCAGGGAGTGCAATTTCCATGAACCACTACGTCCTTATACTCAGTCGCAAACTTGGCGCATTCTGGGGTGGGTGTTGAGACTCACGGTAATTCCCCCTACTTTTTTTTTACAAATAAATATTATGTTACATAATATATACAAATACTAATATATTCTACTTAATATATATAAATACTAATATATTCTACTTAATATATACAAATAAATATTTGATCTGCCTAAAAATTTACGTCAAATTAAGACAAAATTAAGTCAGATTAAGACATAAAATGTTTTAAGTCTAATGTTGCTATATCAGGCCATTTGTAGTTGTCAAAATGCACCCCTGATTTTGTTCATGTCAGCCCAGCCCCAACAATTAATACTTATAAGCTTGAGAATGCTATGCACAAAAACTTATTTGATCTAATTAAAAATATAATAAAATATGATTAGAATATGTTTTAAGTATGAGAATCCAATTATGGGCATTTAGTGATGATACATCGTCGATTCTTTTTCACCTCATCCCCAACCATGGTGGGGCTGTGGTGGGTGCAGATTTCATGGTATTTGCCAATATCTTCTATTGTTACAAAATATTTCATGTACCGTACTCGTGTGAATAAGCGCCCTTCTCGAATAACCGCCCCTCCTAACGTGAACATTTCTTTAAGCGCCCCGTTTGAATAAGCGCCCCCTTCTAATTTCTAATAATATCATAAGATTTTATTTTTAGCAAGTCAATAATCCAATCAATCCTGGGACTGTAGTTGTTGGCATGATTTGAGCTGCAGAGTGGAAACACATTCTTCTTAGGTCAATATCAAAATGAGGATATTTCTCTTGGACAAATGAGAGCTTTGACCCCTGGACAGACAGTATATTTCCAACTTTACTCTTTTTACATATTTGTCTATGCCTAGTCCTACTCCTCTTTTGCTTTTTCCGACCTTAAGCACATTAGATGTGTATAAGAGACAGATATATACCATCCTAGCTAGTATATAGGCCTATAGTAGGATAAGGCTAGCGCGACATGCGGATGTTGGTACGTGTTGGTTAGTCTACAAACGTCGCCTAAAATAATTGATTTTACCCGGCAGAACGAAAGAAGGAAACTTCGCTTTTCAGTCGTCTTAGGCCCTTGATTTTTGACAAACAATGACCTTTCAGAGGTCAAATTGCTGTCAAGAATA